ATTACCTGTTTTATCTTGAAGTCTACTTTGTCCGATATAAGTATGGCAACACCTGCTTTCTTTTGTTTGCCATTAGCTTGGAGTATTGTCTTCCATCCTTTCACTCTCAGCCTGTGTTTGTCTTTAGAGCTGAGATGTGTTTCCTGGAGGCAGCATATTGTTGGATCTTGTTTTTTAATCCATCCCGCCACTCTGTGTGTTTTGATTGGAGAATTCAATACAGTTACATTTAGAGTGATTATTGATATTGAGGCCTTAATGTTGCTATTTTATCACTCATTTTCCAGTTCTTCTGCATTTTCTTTGTTTCTCATCCCATGTGTTTCAGACTAACAGTTCAGTTTGGTAGTTCTGTATGATGGGTTTCTTAGCTTTCTCTTTATTGTATGTGTCTCTGTTCTGTTTATTTGTTTAGTGGTTACCGTGAGGTTTGTATAAAAAAATCTCATAGATGGTATAGTCCATTTTCTGATGGTCTCTTATTTCCTTAAACTAAGTCTATTCCATCCCTTTCCTCTTCCCCTTCTAAGTTATTATTGTCACAATTTATTCCATCTTGCGTTGTGAGTTTGTGTTTAAAGTCGTGAGGTTATATTTATTTTTGCTGTTCTCCTTCCCCTAATCTTTGATGTTATAAGTGTTTGCTAACCTGTACTGATAGAGAGCTGCAATTTTTCTGATTTTCTCTACCTATTTTTCTCCTTGCTCAAACTTTGTATCCCCTTTCTCTTTTTTGTTTTTTCTTTTTTTTTTTTCAGGCATTTGGGTCTTCTTGAGCATTTCTTGTAGTGGGGGTCTTGTGGCAATGAACTCCCTTAGCTTTTGTTTATCTGGGATAGTTATTATTTCTCCATCATATCTGAAGGATGTTTTCACTGGATAGAGTATTCTTGGCTAAAAATTTTTGCCTTTCAGAATTTTGAATGTGTCATTCCACTTTCTCCTTGCCTGTAAAGTGTCTGCCCAGAAATTGGCTGAGAGCCTGATTGGGATTCCTTTGTTTGTTATTTTTTTTTCTCTTGCTACCCTTGATATCTTTTCTTTGTCATTGACTTTTGCCAGCTTTACTACTATAGGCCTTGGAGTGGGTCTTTTTATGTTGATATATTTAGGAGATCTGTTGACTTCATTCACTTGTATTTCCAGCTCCTTCACTAGGTTTGGGAAGTTCTTAGCTATTATTTCCTTGAACAAGCTCTCTGCTCCTTTTTCCCTGTCTTCTCCCTCTGGAATACCTATAATCCTTATGTCGCATTTCCTAATTGAGTCGGATATTTCTCAGAAAATTTCTTCATTTCTTTTTAGTCTTAGTTCTCTCTCCTCCTCCATCTGGAGCATTTCTACGTTCCTATCCTCAATAATGCTAATTCTTTCCTCCATATTGTCAGCTCTGTTTTTTAAAGATTCCAGGTTTTTCTTGATCTCCTCCATTGTGTTTTTCATCTCTAATATTTCTGATTGGTTTTTCTTTATAGTTTCAATCTCTTTTGTGAAGAAGTTCCTGATTTCATTGAATTGTCTATCTGTGTTTTCTTGTAATTCGTTGAGCTTTTTTATGATAGCTATTGTGAATTCTCTGTCATTTAGGTTATAAATTTCTGTGCCTTCAGGATTTATTTCTGGGTGTTTGTCATTTTCCTTCTGGTCTAGAGATTTAATATATTTTTGCATACTGCTTGAGGGCGTGGGCTTTTTTTTTCTCATTCTGAAAATATCTGGTCACAGCTTCCACCTGCCACCAGTAGGTGGGGGTCAAGAACTGTGTATTTTGAGCTCGCTGAGCTCTGTGGGTGCACTGGCTGACTGGTTGTGCTGGTCAGGCAGGGGGAGGGGCTCTTTCTTTTGCCTGCCCGATGCCAGGGGCTTCTCATGCTTCCCTTGCTATCTGCTCTCCTGGGGTGCTAGCTAGATGGAGGCACCCCTGCAACAGTTCAGTCCCCTCCATATGGGACTTTCCCACAGGCTGTGAGAGAACTTGGAGAGAGATGGTTTTCCCACAGAGGACTACCCCTCTCCCCTCTGTCTCTGAGAGATCCACGCACAGACCCAGTCCCAGGTTACTGTTGTTCAGGAAGGATAGCAGTTCTCCTAACCTCCTTCCAGTTCCTCTGGGGGTTCCAGCACCTCCACCTTCAGACGTTTGGCTGTGTGAGTCTCTCATACATCTTTTGTGTTGTGTGAATGTCCTCTGTTGATATTTGAATGTGCTTTTTGTTGTATCTTAGTGGGAGAGAGTCTATGGAGAAAGCTTACTCTGCCATGATGCTGATATCACTCTATCTGTCTATTTTTAATCACCCCTTCTTCAAAATTGAAAATATCTAACTTGAGGTTGAAGGGAAAAATAGGACTACCTTACAGTGACTGAGTGCTACTGACATGCCAGATGGGCACACTATTGATTTACCTCCTTTACAAGGTTCAGTCCCTGCAGCCACCCCACATGGCAGTTGTTGCCCATTTTACAGATGAGGAACTCAGGCCCAGGGGTTGAGGTAAGTTGCCCAACTTTGAAGCAGCCTAGGTGGGATTCAAACCCAGTAGCTGACTTCAGATCCCTGCCCCATCCTCCCAGAACCACTCTGGGGCATGTTCTGCTGCTTTTAGGTTTACCAAAGATTTCACATACATGGTTTCTCATCCTCTGAATAACTTCTGAGATGGTAGGGCAGGTGCTTTTATCCCCATTCTAGAGATGAGGAAATGGACGTTGACTCATTTGTATAAAGTCACCCAAACTGGAGCCCTGCTCTGCTCTTACTTATGACCAAATAAGCGCCTTTGACAAAATCACATGGGTCACTATGCAGATAGTGTGAGACACGTTCCTTTTTTTCAGAATGTTTGGAGGATAGGATCTACTGAGTCATGAAAAATTCTGATTAACTAATTGAGTTAGAATGACATAAAATACACTTAACGATACAATTAAATTAAATGTCTTTAAGTCTGGTGATTCACAAGGCCCCTCAGTGTCTTGAAGACCTGAGACGTTTGTTTCATGTCCTTTAGTTACCACTGCACAGGTTGGTTAAGTGGGGACAGTGTGGGGGATCAAGCTTTAACACACAGTGGAAATTAATATGAAAAATTCCATCTCTCAACTTTCATAAAAACAGAACGCAGAGTGACCCTGTGGTCATTTCTTATGATCCCCTCGGGTGTAGTCTGTTACTAAGGCCTTGGTTTCTATAAAGTGTTACTCAGTTTACCTTCCTGCTGCCCCATCTGTGATTTTCTGGTCTCCCTCTCAATTCCCGGGCACCAGGCTCTCCCTCCCTCCGAGCCATGCTCCTTACTGCTCACCTTGAGTTAGGCTATCTTTAATCACTTTTCTACTCTGGGGACAAAGTGATTTTTCTGAAGCTTACTTGTATTAGTTTGGTAGGACTACCATAACAAAGTACCACAAACTGAGTGGCTTCAAACAACAGAAATGTATTGTCTCACAGTTCTGGAGGCCAAAAGTCAGAAATCAAGACATCGGCAGGCCTTGCTCCCTCTGAAACCTGCAGGGAAGGATGCTTTCTTTTCTCTTCTAGCCTCTGCTGGTTGTCGGCAATCCTTGGTGTTCTGTGGCTTGTTGCTGCATCACTCCATTCTCTCACTTCATTGGCACGTGGTTGTCTTCTCCCTGTGTGTCTGCGTCTTGGTGTCTCTTCTCCTCTTATAAAGACACCAGTCGTATTGGATTAAGGGCCTAGTCTATTCCCCTATGACCTCATCTTAACTAATTACATCTTTAACAACCCCATTTCCAAGTGAGGTCGTATTGTGAGGTACTGGGGGTTAAGACTTCAACATATCTTTTTTAGGGGGCACAATTCAACCCATAATGTTGCTGCTACTTCCAGGGTTAAATATATACTCTTTCACATGGCAGATGAGGTCCTCCACCTTATCTCAGTATCCCCCCGAGTGTGTAGCTATTTGCTGCTCCTCGAATCCCCAATGCCTTCTCACCTTCCTAAGATACTGATAATGCTCTTCCTTCCAGTGAGGAAAATCTCCCTCCTTCCTCACCTAATGAACTCCCATCAATCCTCTCCTCTCAGTTTAAGCATTCCCTGATCTAGGAATCCTTCTGTGCCTTGCCCTGGGACCTTCAGGTGCTCCCTTCTTCACAACCCAATCCTTACTTTTTTTCACACTGTACTGGTATTGTTTGCTTGTCTGTTTTCCCACAAGACTGTGTCGACCATCTTCCCATATGCAGAGCTGGGTACAAGGCAGGCAGCAGTAGATGTTTGATGAGGCAGCCAAACTTCTTGAGAACCAACAATGGCACCCCACCTAAATCCCTTAGCCTCACTTCCAGGGTCTTCTATGTAAACTGGCTCCATCTTTCATATCCAACCCTGTCTTCCTCTTTCCTCCTCCAACATGCATCTCTGCTCCAGGCTGACCGGTCCTCTACACCTCCCATTCTTTGAACCATTTGGCCTTGCTCCCGTGTGTTCGCCATCTGCAATTACCGGCCTCCTTCCCCTCAGTCATCCGAGTCCTGGGCATCCTTTAGGCCTAGCTCAAATGTCAGTCTCTCCAGGAAACTTGCACTTTCTCCAGCCTGGTCATTCATTCATGCAGACTTTTGGTAGATGTTTAATTAACACTGCATCAAAATCTGAGGATGCAAAGATCATAGTCCCTTGAAACACTCAGTCTATCTGAGGAAATAGACAAGTACTTTAAAAAGAGCCTGATGAGTGTTATAGTACAGGTGTGTTTTCCAAGCTCAGGGGAGCAGAGTATGGAGAAGGATTTAGCTGGGAGGAAAACTATTTGACTTTTAAGTTCTCTGTGATTGATGAATGATTTCTTTTGTGGAAAGGGGTTGGAGGCTTCTAGAGGTCTGAAACTTTATAGCCCAGCTCCAAAGAAACTCGAAGGAAAGGCATTTAAAACAAAATCTTTGGTTCCAAATTTGTTTGTTTTTATCCTCTGTCAAAGGAAGATATGGGTGAAACCTACAGGAAAGTTGGAAGGTGCAATGTTTTTCAGGTTGGAGAACAGTGGAACCAAACCCCAGATGGAGCAGATGTGGGAGCTGAGCCGGGGTTAGGGAATGGGATAGGGAAATTGGGCACATTTTCACTCCTCTCATGTAAGTCTCCAGAGAATGACTACATTGTTTAATCTGAAGTAAAACTTTCCAGAATATTAGATACCTGCATGTAAGTACCAACGAAGAAATAGGTGATTGTAAGAGCATTTGCTATTTTGAATTCCCTGTAGCAGTACTGCCCTCAACTAATGCATTGAGGAACTGTACATAATTGTGCATAATGAGTAACCAATTTGTAGAGCTTTGTGCAATCAGTAGGATAGTTACCTTTTGAATCCTGTCCTGTTCAACCCAGGACAGGGCGCTACAATAGTGAGTACTGCCCAGAAGACTTGCTGTTGACCCCAAGGAATGTCGCAGAAACGGTGACAAGAAATGGGTCTATCCCGTAATTCACGAAGACAAATGCTCCTTAATTTTAAACTGCAGGAAATAGATAGGGAGAATAGCACTGCAGAAAAGAGAGGAAGTGTGGTTTAGTGGTCAGAGCTGAGGAAATGAGGAAGGCTTATTCTATTTCATGTTCTAAAATTAACTTCTCATCGACCTTGATTTCATTTCTATAAATTGAGAATAAAAACAAGCAATGGGTCAGGCCTATTAAGTGCAAGGCTGAAAACTTGCAAGGTTTTAGATTAAAACCATGACTTTCCCAAGACAAAGCTTTCTTTTCACTGAGATCTTATAATTGACTATGGTGTTTAAAAATAACTCTCTCTTTTATTGGTTTCTACAGTCAGACAAATATCCCATTCAAGATACGGGACTCCCTAAAGGTATGTACAGTTAATATAACTACTTGAACTTGTGATTATTTTAATATCTTGAACAAAGTACTAGTCAAAGTAATTTTGCATTATTTAAAATTGTAAAACAGAAATATACCAATAATTTAGTTCATGACTTGTTAATGATTATCTCAGGTATGAATTTTCTTATTAAAATCTATAAGTTATTTTATCACAAATTATACATGAAATTCCTGTGGTGTTTTTAACATGAATAAAATGAAGATAACCAGGACTCTGGGTTGCAAGTGACAGAAACCTCACTCAAATTAGTTTTTTTTTTTTTTGTGAGGAAGATTAGCCCTGAGCTAACATCCACGCTAATCCTCCTCTTTTTGCTGAGGAAGACCAGCTCTGAGCTAACATCTATTGCCAATCCTCCTCCTTCCCCC